CAGGTGTCCCTGCCCTGGGGTCCCGTGGCGGGGGAGCCCCTTGGGCACATCGGTGCCCATCGCAGTGAGGCTGCCGTCCCTGCGCCTGCCCTGCCCGGCACAGCCGCTCCGCGCCAAGCGGCCCTTTCTCCGCGTGAGAACCAAAGGCAAAACAATGCTCGTCAGCCAGAAAAGCACCATGTAAGTAGAAATGGAAGATTTCCAGTTCCTAAAGAGCTACCAGTGAGCATTTTCATAGTGGCGTTAAAGAACACTTTGAAGTACTGCCTGTGACTTAAAAAAATGCATTTGGGGGATAAATCCATATCTTGTTCCAAAGACACAAACTAAGCTTCATTTTACTAAATATAGACATGTAAGGCACGGCAAAATTCATCAAAACTCTCAATCAAATCTCCCAAAGAGATGTGTTGTGACAGGAGACCAGCAACCCCATGAAAATAAGGGCTCGGTATTCCAGTACTTACACGCACGAGTTACCTCCGTAGCATAAGCAAAGCCACTGGATCAAACGCTTGCAGGATTACACCCCTCGCATTGGCAGCTTACACCAGGTCACTTGGCGGGATCTTTCCCGCCAGGCAGTGGCTCACCCTCCGGCCAGGCTCCCGGCGCCTTCTCCGTGCTGATGATGAGTCTCCGGACCTTAGCTTTTCCGCCATCAGAGATCAAGTAGAAAAGTAACGTTAAAAAAAAAATAATAAAAAAAAAAAGCTTTATTGATTCGGTTATACGAAATGATCCCCTTTGCAGCACGGTTTACACTAAGCCTCCAAATCTGACATCTCTTTGAAAGCCCTCTTAATATATCCAATTATAGATTTTCAGCAACTTTGTGGAATGTCGGCTTTCCCGGCGACTGACCCCGGAAAACACCATTGAAATCAGGAGGGATTTTGCTATTGAGCTCAGTGGGGGAGGATCAGGTCCTACATAATTTTATTGTCAGCAATGATGACCTCTCTTCACAAATGAAGAATACCCATCCTGAACCATGGCCTTCGGAACGTAAACCATTTATTTTTATAGCTGGATCCTTCCCCAAGTGGGATATTTTGTGCATGGTTAACTTATCCCAGGGCTTTAAATGCTTGCCAAGTGGCTTTAATAGCAGGATGTTGTTTAAAAAGATTGGGAAGGATTGTGGGCAGTAATAGAGATAATTGCCAAGGAGAGATAAATGAATCTTCAATCTCAAACCAACTTGGCTTTATCATTGGCTCAGGAGGGAAGATCCAGAAAAATCCCCTGTCTAAGACTAAACACGTAATGATAGTTTGGGATTTAGGGAAGTTGGCGGCTGTCGAGATTTTTTGATAAAAACATCTTTTGAAGCTTAATACAGGTTTGAAATTCCATATAAAGGCACGAAAGCCCCTTTTCACTCCAGGGGTTTGGCATCGCGAAATAAAAAAGCTGGAGGTGAATTTTTGGGAGAGGAGCAGATAGCAAGTGACATCCTGAACTGAGAATTTTGCGGGCTGCACCGGGGTAGGGAAACTGCATGCGAAGGGGCTGAGCGCAGAGCCAAGCAGGTAAGGAGTGTTTTGCAGAACACGGGGCACCTGCAAGGGGATGGGTGCCCCTCGGCCATCCCTCGGCCACCCCTTGGCCACCCCTCAGCTGCCCCCTGGCCTCCCAGAGCAGCTGGGAGAGTGGCACATGCCAAACCCAAAGCTTTCATTTCTGCTTTGCAAATAGCAGAGAGAGCATATCCAGGACATATTCAAGTGTATTTATTTATTTATCCATCCACCAGGGAGGGGAGGAGGTCGAAAGCCAACCGTGTTAATGAGAAATTATCTTACCTTATCATGCAGAATAAGGTACTGCATGACACAGCGACTTTTCGGGTCACCCTTTTTAAAAAGGAGTTGCCAAATAAGGACTGTTGAAAAAGGAAAAAAAAAAAAAAAAGATTGACTTCAGACAGGTCTCCCCTGCTAGGATTTGGGGGAGTTGAGTGGAGTTTCAGCTTTTCTTCCCTCTGTGACACCCTCTTTCTCTTTGCCTGCTGTCAGCACCCCTGGCAGCAGGACCCTTGCTGCTCTCTGCGGTCCAAGCCACCTGAGGTGACTGCTGCAAACACTCACGGGGCTTTTAGAAGAGTGGGGAAAGGCATTTTAGAGAGAGATGACTTGTTTTTCAGCAAAGGTCTTATGCGGCTGGGGTTGGGGGGGGGCATTTCTGGGATATAATCAGTGAATGTGGAACACTCATGGGGCTTTCGTGAGAGTGGAAAAGGCTTTTTGGAGAATTATAACTTATTTTTCAGTGAAGACCTTTTCCAGCGCAGGGTGGGGCTTTCCCCAGTTATCTTCTTACCAGGATACTTTTGTCCTTTCTAGACCTTATATTCTCAGCTATGGGGAAATAACACAGAGGAAACCCAGAAGCACTATACAGGGGGAGGCCTGACAAAATGATTTCTCTCTGTATGATCTGAAAAGGAAACCGTGACCCATTTTTCCAAAAGCGATATTAAAATAAGCAGAGCAACGCGACATGAGCAATACAAAACAAGCCACCTTTGGATTAAAGAGTCGCTATTTCAAACGTCCCAGCTACTTCCCATGTTTGCAAATTCCCCCCGAGAGACTGACAAAAGCTATGAAGGAGGTGCGTGGTTTGGCATGATAAATTCTTCTCTGTACACAGGGTCCAGGAGGAATGTCGTTCTTGCAAGGTTTACAAAAAAAAAAAGAAGAAAAAAAAAAAAAAAGAGGTCTAAAACAAGCTATGAAATAAAACTGGAGCAAAACCATCCCAAAACACACATAAAAAATAATCCCCTGCCAGTGAGCACAGCTCCGTGTTACCCAGAAGGAGAGCCTTCCCGCCGGCATGTGAATTACAGCCCGTTCCCAGCTCAGGGATCTGTGTTTTCCGACCGGCTTAGCCCCTCTCTGGGGAATGGGCGCAGCATCCCCGGCCTGCGGGCCATCCCCTAAACTCGCCGCTCCCTCGGGCTACTGTTCACAGCCCGCTTGCCTTTAATATTGACATGCTCACACTTGGCGGTATTATTCGGAGCTTTGGGTCTGATGATCATATTTATATGGCTGACACCCAGACCTACTTGCCTATTCCTGCGGATTCCCGTGAAGTGCTGTCATGGCTTATTACCTGTCTATCTGCGCTTCAAGCCTGGGTGACTTTTAATTTTTTGAAGCTTAATGCTGAGAAAACAGAATCGCTTCAGATTGGTTCAGTTCACCTCCTGGATGTACGGATTTATGATACATAATATTGCAGCACACACAGCCTGGGAGCTGGTTTCGCTGATAGACTCTTAAAAATGGCCTTATTTTATCTGAAATAAAGCTTTTCAGAAGCACATCAGCGAGAGGGGAGAAGGAAAAATATCTTCATCGGATTTTGGGAACTTCTGTGGGTTTTGTTGCGTGTTTCTTGTCAGGCTGAGGAGCCCTTGTTCATGCCTCAGTCTAATCCAGAGTTGTGTATCGTAGCTCAGTGATAATTGGAAACTCTTCTCACTCCAGCATTTTCAGCTGTTGTAAAAGTCTGCAGCTAATGTCATAACAAGAATTAAACTGTCTCATCATATTACACCCATCTTAGCTGACTTCGCTGGCTATTAAGGTGACAGCGCATTGATTTAAAATTTGTGTTAATTGTTTACCCCTTCTTGCAGAGGCTTTCTTGGGGTTTTTGTAGCAACCTGCAGGCTTTCTGGAGCTGTGGATTATCTTTGCGTTCGGCTTTATGTGGACTTATAAAAAAATATCCTCTTTGTCTGGATCACACCACCTAATACCCTCAGCCCGTGGATTTCTGTGGCACGTATATTCCCTGCATGGATCGCTTTTAAAAGTAAGCCAGCGGAGAGGGCATGGCTGGCTTTGATAGTACAAGACTTTAAGAGGCTTTTTTCACACTCTGATTTTTATTTGATTTTTTTGCCTTCAGTTTTTCTGGCCACTAATAGAAGGGGTGTTGTTTTAGATAAAAAAAAAAAAAAAAACTGCGCTCCCTCTGCATACAAAACCTTTTGCTTTATAGGGTTAACAGAGAAAGTGGCCTGTATCCCGCCCCTGCAAAACAGACCTCACAGCCCTTCATCCTCAGGCTTCCACTTTTGGGGTGAATAAATCAATCCCCGCATAAGCCTGTGGTAACAAACTTTTTACCTAGAGTTGCGAATGAAAATTGCTTTGTGCCATATGCTGTCTCTCTGGCACAAAATGAGCATCACCTCAACGGGAGTTTGGCATGCTCGGTGATTGCAGGACTGGTAAATAGGAGGCATTTTCATTTTTTTTGTTCAGGATCTAGCTCTCCAAATCCATAAACAATGTATTTCTCCACAGATATTTGAAAAAAAAAAAAATCCTTTATTGTCTCTGAGACCATGAGTTTTATTCGCTCCTTTCACCGAGGGCTGAAACATTTTTCACCTTCTGCTCCGCTTTGTTGTGTTTTCTCTCACTGGAGTAATTATTGAATGGGAAATGGGAAGATGTCGACTTGTCTTAACAAAAAAACCTTCTCATTTAAGGGGAAAAAGTAAGTAATCAAGTAATAAATATTTATTTGCGAGTTTAAAATCCCATTAGTTTTTATTCCAGATTCCAGGGACTTTGGATCAGACCTCAGGCTCGTTCTTGGAACATGACCTTAGCTAATGGATTTCTTCCTAAGGAGACCCGCTCTGCCTTCCCTGCGCAAGAAGTGCTAATCGCATAGCCAGCCCTTCCCTCACCCCATCTCCTCCTAGCTGTTTTTTGCTTTTTAGTAGAAAAAAAATGAGATTGTGCATGAGCTGCAACTGGATTTTAAAATTCTCTAGCGGCCAGTACATTTTGCACAGTTTATAGCTTATAAACATGATCATAAATTGCAAAACTATTACTAGTTATTTGAGTTCCCAGCGTTTACACCTGGGGAAAAGCAAAGTCTCCCAACTGTCATTAGAGAGCACTTCGTTAGAGAAAAAAAACATTCACTATTTATATTTTGAGCAGAAAAGTGCCACTCACTTGTATGAATAAAGCATGCGCTTTCCCAGGCCGTTGCTGGCTGTTCCCTGCTCACCAGTGGCCTCGGCCAGCTCCGGCACCCACGCATGACAGAGCCTCCAAAACGGAGAGGGATTTGCTGTCAGCTCCAGCAACAAGTACGGCTGCCGGATGGCGCGGAGGGCCGCCTGGGTGCTCTCGCCATTAAGGCAGTGCCAGTAAGGTAGTCTATATTTAACGTGAACTTTTCTGCCTTTGAAAAGCGTTGCTTGGTGCACGATAACCGCGCTTTGAAAGCCTTTTGTTTCATTCCTGTTTTGATGAACTTCTTTCCCTTTGATGTTCATCTGGAGTTTAATCGCGATAAAGCGCGCACAATGGGTAGACTGTGGAAGAGAAAAAGGTGGTGGGAGAGCACAATACGGCGCATTATCCGCTGTCTCCCCTATGCTGTTCGCTTGGCAGGCGGCAGCGAGCGCTGCAGGGAGAGCAAACCGGGGTGACAGCCCGGGTGTCCTGGACTCACGCCCGCTCCCGACGCAGCCACAGCCGAAGCTGGGCTCGTGGCAGAGGATTGGGCACAACCAGGCCCTGGGAAAGGCTCACTGCTGCCAGGACCCGGCCCAACGGTGACCACCTGCAGCCTCCCCACTGCTGCTGGTGGCTGGGACAGGGCAGGGTCAGTCCCGTGCTCGGGACATCCTCCCTGAAGGTCTCCTCCGGCCTCGGGGCACGATGGCCAGCCTCAGCGTGTGGCTCTACATGGACAGGATGCATCCCAGCTTCCTCGCTACACATCAACATCCCACATCAGCGTCCCATGTCAGCATCTCCCACATCCACCTCTAGCGTGGGAAGGTGGAAGTTTGAGGAAACCCCCCCAAAGCACCGGGATGCCCCCGGCACCAGGCGGTACTTGCTGCTGTTGGGGGTCTGGCTCCCAGGGTCAGGCTCTTCTGCAGACAGCTCAGTTTTTGTTCAGATGTATGCTTCCAGTCTACCTGACTGGGGAGGAAACCTCAACAAATAGGAGACAGAGGGAACGCCTAAATGTGCTGGTTTTATAGCCTTTCCATGATTTTAGGAAAGGGCACTGCCAAACCCTTTCAGAAGGCAAGGTGGGGCAGCAGCTGCTGCGGCCAGTCTAAGTGGCATCGTGTCCACAGGCCAACATTCACCCGGGCTTGTTTCTCCCTGCGCAGACCCTCTGCGGGTTTAAATCTGCTCCCTCATGGCCTAAGTCTCCTTACGAACTATTTGCGCGTATTAATTCCTGGCGCCACCCGCTTGTCCCCCAACCAGGGACATCTCCAGGCAGCCGGGGCTGATGTCCCCTTGCAGCGGTGCCCTGCGGTGCCTGGGAACTCCTGCGGAAAGGGCAGTGCCCGGGATGCATGCCCATGCCCACTGGGACCAGCATACCGAGGTGACACCGTGACACCCCTGTGACTCAGGTATCGCCTTGCCCCCCCCGGCCCCAGCCCTGCCCCTGGGCAGTTGCTGCTCTCAGCCACATCATGGCACATGCCATCCCTGGTCACATCTCAGGACATGCCAACCCAGGTCACACCTCAGGACGCATCTACCCCAGTCACACCCTGTCCCCGCCGTGGGCAGTGCCGCAAGGCTGAGGACCAAACTCCACGCCCTCCCAGGCTGAGCACGTCCCCACTGCCACCTTCCACCCCAGACCCCATTTTGGCCACCACGATCCCAGGACTCCCGAGGTTGGGCGCAGTGTATATTTGGGATATTTTTGTGCAGCACCAAAGCAATAAGTCGTTTTCTGTGAAGCTCCTCATAGCATTTGGTAGCCTAAATCAGAAACAAGCACTACGTGCCTTTTCCCGGGGATGGCTGAGATGGTTCCTGCTGTCCAAGCGCAGCTCCATGGTTCAGGATGGACACTCGCAAGGACACGTGTCTGTCCTGCCTGACCCGTCCCACTGTCTGCAGACAACCCCCTGTGCAAAATAAGGACAGAGTCCTAATGAACACATATATCATCTCATTTCTCCTCAGATGGCCTCTGCCACCACCAACTGTCTCTGAATTGTTTCTTTAGAAGAAAATCGCACTTAAATCTTCTGCAGATATCACTTCTTACCCAAGAACAGGTTTGAGGGTTTTTAACTATTCATTGGGTTGCAGAAGTTGGGGATCACACATTTTCCATATTTTTGCTTGGATTTTTAACCTTATCTTGTGACATCTGTACTTGCTGCTGGTCTGACCTACTTAGTGAAGTCAAAGACACTGGAGATTAAACAGAGCCATCCAGTTCAGTGTATACTTATAATTTCAAGGTCCTCACAGAATTCATTATTTTCTAATAATCTTTTCTTGCCATTCAAAAGCTAATTGTAGCTTTGCATTAAAAAAACAATTTACAAAATATAATTGTTTTTTTTTTTTTGCCTAAGACGGTAAAATCTGTAAGCCAAAATAACTGAATTGCACCTGAAATGTATACAAGGATTTCAACCAAGGCTGCTTATCAACCAAAGCCAATATCTCCTGGTGTACAGCATGGTGCGTAACAGTCACTGCAAAATTTAGGTTAATTGTGGTGAATTTTATTATTTTTTTTAGGAATGCTTTCCACCGCGTCCCTATTTTGAAACCAGAAAGAAAACAAGATGTAGCAGACCTTCTCTTGCAAAATGAATTTGTTAAGCTCTGCTGCATTTTACTGAAGTGTAAGAAACTTAAATAAAAGTGATCCTAAAGCTAAGAAGCTGTTTTCAAGGCTGAGACTAGTGGGATTTCTGTGAGTATAGTTGCTCTTCCTAAAGTTGGAGGTATGGGGAGGTTTTCTTGTTGCCAGAGGATATCATTAATGAGTCTGAGACATTCCAAGGCTGATCTTTTCCCTTTCCTATTGCACTATGCAGTTAATATTTGGATAATATTTTGCAGAGATGAGTGAAATAACTTCGGAAATCACTTTACAATTTTGAGGCAGTATCTGGGCTCTTTATTTCATTACATTTTGTATATACATTTGTCAAGCTTTTACAGCAAATGAAAATTGCTTGACAGTTTTCAGGAGTGTTCATGCAGGGCCTGATCCAGAGCATCTCCCTTTTCCAAGGACAGGGGCACAAAGCTTCCGAAAATCAGGCACAAGGGTTTCAGGTGGGTCCTGGACACTGAACATCTATGAACACTTTCTTGCTTTGATAAAAAAATGCTTGGAGTGTAACAGTGTGTTTTCCTGGTATTTGATGTCGCGGTTTGTGCTTGGGAGAGTACAGTCACACTTTTAAACGCTGCTTTTTCTGGCTTTTAATCCGTATTTTGAATCTACCACCAAAGAGCCTTCCAAAATGATTATATGTCTGTGACCATGATGTTAATGTTTCAAAAGCGGTTGCTGTCTGTGTAATATTTTTCTGTCTTTTTACTGCTTCTGTGCAAGCTGGAAAACTGTTTTGCTACATCTGAGCTGCCTATATAAACTGCTGTTAATATTTGGCAGGTTTATGCTGCCGTGTGGGAACTTGCACATTTAGTTTCCAGTGACCCCCTTCAGACACAGGCGCAGACCTGCTCTGCCGCGATACCAGCTCTCCGTGGGGGGATTTGTGGATATGCTTTGCTGGGCAATAAAATATAATTAAAAATGTGCAAAATTAATGCGTGCAACGCTTTATTCCTGGAGGTAAAATCCACTTAGTAAAACTTCAGCATTCTACTGCGTGAGAGATTTGTGTTCAAAAATGCATTTCTGCACTTTTCTCAATGAATTTCCTCAGGTGATTGATTTATAGATGGCTGAATAGTGGTTAAAAGAAGAATGCACACAATCAACATAAATTACTAGTATTAAGCAAGCACCAGATACAGGGAGAGAGTCTTTACTACTTTGAAGTATCTCATATCAGTAAAATAAAATTATTTCACATAACATGAGACAAAAGCCATTCACAAAACAGCGTACCAAAGCTAACTGAATCCAATTCAGTTATAAGCTCTGTAAAGCAAGCGCTGCTTTCGCTGTGTTGTTACCATAACCATGAATTCATTAGATGTGATACACGAAGACTTTTCTTAACCAAAAATCAGTTACACCCATGGATGCCGCTTTATAATTCAGATACAGATCCCTGAGCCTGCAAAGATTCAGGCAGAGCTTTAACTCTGGGCACAGCGAGGAAGCTCAGAACCCCAGTGAAATCCCGTGCAAAAGCACGTGCAGAATATTTTCAGCAGCGGGGTCTGTAGAAGCATCCCTCAAGGACCATCGCCACACTCTAGCAACCACCGTCTGTCTCGGGGACAAACTAGAAAGAAATGGTCTTAAAGCCCGGCTGGGCCACCCTTGCACATTCGGAGGTCGCTGCAGGTTTCGTCCCACCCTCTCCAGCTGAGATGTGCGGGCAGCACCTTCTGTCCAAACCAAACCCAACTGAACCTGTGGGACCTACACAGACGTGCTGGCCCGGGGTGCGGGCAGGTGGGCTGTCCAAGGTTCAGAGCTCGCCGAAGGCTCGGCTTTTGTTCCCTTTGCATCCTTTCTCTCATCAGATTCGGGGCTCCAGAAAGTTTTCTGCGTTAAAGAGAGCTTGCCTTAAGTTTTAGGGGAAGGGCGATAGCGCAAATTGGAGCTGGCTTATGTAGCTGCCCCCTCCTGCTAAACAGCATATTTCTGTCTGTGTTCAACTGTTTTTTTCTACCCCATCTCCTTCTGCTCTACATAATCCGTCAATATTGGGTTTCCTTTCATTAGACTTTCCTCTCTCTTAACGTCTATTCTTCCTCACTGATGTCTCCCGCCTTTACCATGGCTTTTTTCGGTGGTTTAGTTTGATTCAAGCTGGAACTGTTAGGGTCGTATCTAAAAATAATGAATTTGTTTATACCTATTTACTATAAAGCACACTATTTTTGTCCGCTTCATTCTTTGGATAATACTTTTAGGGAAAATATAACACTCCCTTAATTTTAGATCCTTTTTTATCTTGCTTCAGATATAGGCTCCAAGACATGTGCATGTAAGACAGATGTTTAATTTACTCCTCCAAATATGCAAAGAATATGGCTATGCGCAATAAATATCGCTAAGGGCACGGCTGAAGACAAGAAAAAAAAATCTGTGATAAAGCTGCTGTAAATTCCCTATTATCTAAGAATTTCAACACCTACGGATGTGCCCAAGCCTCCATTGCACCCTCATGAATTTAGGAGTCTGGGACATACAATTATTGATGAATGCGAGCTGTGTGTTGGTGCACAAACTGTACAGCAGATTTTAAAATAACCATCTGAGGGTATTATGGCTGTTAGTCAAAATTTGACAGCAAAGGGGATTTTTTTGTTTAAATAGGGCGATTTGGAATGTGACTCAGAGAGAAATCACACAGGATACCGGGACTTCATGAAA